CTACAGATGTCAAAAAAAAAATGTGCAAACCATTCAGTAAATGAACAGCCTGCCTCGTATTTTGCTGCAGGGAGCTGGGCAGTGTACCCTTGGGATCTATATTAAATCCATCGTCAAGGGAGGACCGGCTGAAATGGTGAGAATAAACACAGTTTAGGTCCATCTTTGAAAAAGAGGAGCAGAATTTTCAATGAAATGCGCAAGTACGCACTTAATCAAACTGTGTCTCTTTACTCTGTCCAGAATGGCCAGTTAACTGCTGGAGATCAGCTGCTCAGTGTGGATGGTCAAAGCCTGGTTGGTCTCAGCCAAGAAAGGTAGCTACTGCACACCAGCCAGGGAAATGTTTAGCTTTTCTTATCTTTTCTTTTTAAAAGCAGGACGGTGGTTAGTCTAAGCTGAAAATGCAGGAGAGATCATAAGTGAATAAGAATAACCCTGACCTATTCTCTTTTACAATTAGTGAAACTGATATTCCCATCATGATATGACATCATGTAACATCTGGGATACCCTTACTTTTAATCTATGATTTCATCACAACCTCTGTAGGCTGCACACGCCCACAGATGGTGATTATAGTAAATGCATACTTTCTGTATGTTTGCTTTGTGTACTATATGCTTACTTAAGTACTGTTCTTTTCATTCAGAAGCACCGATATGATCCTTTCCTCCTTCAACACATGCATATCAGCCTCACTTCTGAAAAATAACAATAATACCAAGAGTACTTAGACAGTGCAACTCCCCCAAAGGAAAAGGCTACACTAAAACTTTGATGTTTTTAATCACACTGTTTTTATTACAAAATGATGACATAAGCAGTTTTTATAGATCATTTGTGCTCATTGTTAAAATGGAAATCTAGTATAGTATTTTAATCTTTTTGTCCCATTGTAAAGTCATATAATGTCATATTGAAATAACGGTTTGGCCTCCAGTGATTAATTTATTGCTTTAAAATCTCGAGATAAAGAAAACTAAAGCTTTTTCCCAATTTGTGTGATCCTGACTTCTGACCTCTGACCTTGAAGCATTACATACCAAAATTGTGTATTTTATCATGTTTTCCCATATTATTGGAGCAGAATAGACTGAAATCTTTGGCCTCTACAGTCTGTAAAAACTCATGCTTCATGCAGTGTGTGATTTTCCAAAACTTTTTATTGCGTCACTGTGACAGTTTAGGGCGTAGTCTTGAAAACATAAATAATAAAGTGTGTTGCTCTCTCTGTTCCCTTTAATATGATACATTATATTGAATTTCATGAACTATTTGTCTTCTTTTCCCCCCCAAAACTGCAATGTAACTATTAGACACACAGCACAGGTTAGCTGGTTGAGAGTAGCATGCTTTTAACTTTACAAATGCCAAAATTTAAGAGTGTTTTAGCCAAGTTTAAGTATTTAGTAATTACGAAACAATCTCTAAACTGTGACATTAAAGAAAAGTAACCTTATTAATCTTACACTGGTTTAGGGCAGCAGCGATCATGATGCAAACTGGCCCCATTGTGACCTTACAGGTTGCAAAATTTGCAGCGAGTTACCACGGCCTAGAAGCCCTGCTGAGAGAATCCACCCCAGAGAAGACTACAGGCAAGCACCAGTACACTCAAATCAAACCTCTGCTTTTTTTCCATTACTTTCTACCTTCTTTTACCTAACAAAGACCTTTTCTTGCCTCATAAGGGGAGAGAGACCACGCTATGCCAAACAATAAAGCCTGCATAAAGTACAGCACAGAGGACCACAGTCCCTCAGAGGAGCTCCATGGAGGCAGTCGAAGGAAGAAACAGCAGATAATGCAGAGGAACAGACAATTTTATCGCTCCAACCCCAACATGGCCGGTGGGCGCTCTTCTCCTGTTGTCACTTTTTGTTGCTGAGTGCTAACCGCACATATTTCTCACTGTTAAATATGCATAACATTGGAGAGCGAGTCATAATAACAGCTGCAGTACTTTTTATTTTCTTCTTATTACAGCAGACTTTTGCCTTGAGGATGGCGATAAACTTGTTGACCCTTTCACAGGAAACAGCACCGCTTCTGTGTCCACTAAAAATCTTTGCTCTGATGTGAGATTATTATTAATATTATCGTTGTTGTCCAGTGTTTTTAACACATTTTCAGTGACTTGTCATGATCTTACACAGGCCATATACATTTAAATATTTAAGGATTCAGCGTAACACTTTTTCTTTCTTGTGGTCAGAAATTCCACTGGGAATACTTGACACTACCGAATCCTAGATCCCAGGACAGGAATGTATCTGAACCTAGTAAACCACAGCAAACTTTCCAAGTGTCTTTGAAACCTTTAGCTGGACAGAGCTCCTATAGATCTCTAAACGTCATGGTAAGTTTTGGTGTACGAAGACGTTAAAAGAAATACATAAGCAAAGTCATAATAGTACAGCTAGAAAGAATTACATTAAAATCTCTTTATTTACCCCCCTCTAGCGCCAAGCCCTCTCTCAGGAGAACTTGTGTACAGACAGTGGACGCCCCCTGCTGGACAAAAGTCAGAGCAAGTGGACACAGAAGGATCAGGGTGCAAAGCAAACTGAGAACTACTACACGTCTTTCCCTATCCGCTCTTGTCTTTCTACTCATGACATCCTTTCTGATAACAGCTCCCCCACAAATCAGCAGCAGGTCAGCCGTGTAAGCTGTGCTGGTGTTTGGAGAACCCCTTTTTCACAACACTCAACATCCACGCCTTCAATCCAGCCGATACGCATCGACATCCCCCTAACAAGAGCAGCGAGCCACCAGTCAAATCCTCCACTCACTACCTTCCAGCAGAGTTCTTCGTCGCTGGCAGTGAAGATGAGCCGAGCTTTTCAAATCAATGGACACAAGCAGAATCCTCAAAGCCAAGCTAGTAGTACTTCTGCATGTCCAGTATCTCCAACTAAGAAGCTACTTCAGCCCTCACTTTTATCACAAAAATTCAACATGCACAGAGATCAAGCAGCAAAACCTCAAGTGAGTATCACTCCAACAAAGCATGTTTCCTTCCAAGAACCTCCCTGTTTACAGAAAAAGAGCGGAGGTCCAATGAAACAGAAAGACCCTATGGAGATGTCTGATCCATGGAAGAGGGAAGCTCAGGAGAAGCTGGAGAAGCAGCTGAGGCTTGAAGCGGTGGAGTTCCTGCAGCAGGAGATGCAAGAGCTTCAGGCTAAAGCTAAGCGCACGGCGGAGGAGAACGACCGACTCCGAAAGCTCAACCTGGAGTGGCAGTTTCAGAAGAGGCTGCAGGAAATACAGCAGAGAGGAGATGATGAGGATGAAGATAAGGATTTGGACATGATGGTGATGATACAGCAGCTAGAGAACAGCATGTCACAGGCCAAGGTTAAAGAGAAAACACAATGAAAACTTTTGTTTCTGAGCCTGTTTTTTGTGTATGCTGTTCATACACTGTTAATACACAACACTGTTGGAACCTCTTCCGATTCCTATTTAGGTCACACAGCTCGTCTAATTTAAAGCTGAACACAGTGACGCCCAAAAGTTTTTGTGGTATTAAGTAAAGTGTATTAAAGGGAGCCTAGTATAGTAATTTATTCTAGGACTTTAGTAGAGAGTGTTAAGGAACAAATAATCTTTAAATTATTTGTTTACATAAACTCTTCATGTGCCTAAATATCATAGCAAAATGGGGCTTTTAATGATTTCTTTGATTGGTTCTTTTTCCAGGGGGGAATGATTCAAAATACAAGAATTCGATGGACTTTATTTTGAGTTTCTCTAAACCACACGGTTTATATACCGAAGTTTACATACAGCCTCGAGTATACATAGACTCTTAAGTTTTGCTGATGATTCCAAGGCCTATTAACTTCTCATTTGTCATCATGGTTGACTACAACTAGAATTTTCTCTTTGTCAGTATAAAAGGGATTTGATTGACGGCACTCGTTGGATTGATCAACGTGAAAGTCTAAAGAACTCAGTGAAGACTTAAGGAGAACTGTAGCTTTACACATGTTGGCAGGTCTTTTGGAGCCATTTCTAAGCAACTATAGAGACCAAGATCATCAGTTCAAACAAATGTTAATGAGTAAAAGAAAGATGTGTCACCACCTTGGTCTGGACGAAGACCTAAATTGTCATATTTGGATGAAAGGAAACTGGTTAAGAAAGCACCAATGCTCAACCCTGCCATGAACTGGAAACTGCTGGAACACCAGCGTCACTGTCCACAGTGAAGCCAATTTTACATCCCTATGGATGTAAATTTCACCTCAAATCAACAGCTAGATGTTTGAAGCTTGAACAAAACTGGGTGTTCCAACAGGACAATGATCCCATATACACATAAAAATGGTTTTGGAAAGGATAACTTAGGCTAACATTACGCTTCTGGAATGGCCTTTCCATTCCCTGATCTCAACCCCATTGAAAATCTGTGGATTAGGCTTAAAAGCCAGGTTTGTGCCAGGAAGCCAGCCAGTTTCAATGAACTCTACCTATTCTGCCAAGAAGAGAGGTCAGATATGCAGCCAGATTCATGCCAGAAACGTATTGACTGAACGTGTATGGTCAAGGTGCGACTTGCTACTGGACATTTCAATTCAAATTCAATCTTGCGCACCCAATTCTTGATGTTTTAAGTCCATAAAGACGTTTGCTGTACAATCATTCTACTCTTGGAAGAAGAACATTCCAAAGAAAAAGAAATTATTAAAGAAAACATTAAAGGGTCAAAATTACCAAGACGTTCATGTCCATAATGAACCTAACCATAACTAACATATCTAACCATAGCTGTACATGCATACTTCTGTAATGACAAGTTTACGTGTGGATACAACTAAAAAACACCCAATAACTTGCATTATTGTCTTTTATCTCCTGGTTCAGAACAACACAAGAAGCTCTGGTGGGAAGGACAAAACAGAAAAGCAGACGGGAATTCACCTCTCCAAAAAGGAAGATGAAGAAAAGAGAGGTAATCCTTAATTCACACATTAAAGAAAAGTGAATGTTGTTGTGTCAGTTTTGTTTATTCAGAAATGTGTGCATATCAGCTATGTCATTTGATTCTAACTGGGAAAATGTCCATGTTTTTGGCAGCTCAGCGATTAAGTGGATTAGCTCATGATGTTCATCAAGCAGCATCAAAAGAGTGAGTTTACACTTTTTTGGCACACAAAGCAGAACATTAATCTAATTCAGGGGTGGGGGAACTTGAGGCCTCAAGGGCCGGTTTCCTGCAGGTTTAAGATATGTTCTTGATCCAACACAGCTGATTTAAATGGCTAAATTACCTACTCAACGTGTCATGAAGTTCTCCAGAGGCCTGGTAATGAACTAATCATTTGATTAGGTGTGTTGACCCAGGTGATATCTAAAACCTGCTGGACACCGGCCCTTGAGGCCTGGAATTCCCCATCCCTGATCTAATTTAACAGGCAGCTACTAATGCCACATTTCTTCTCAAGAAGACTTAATGATACATCTGCACACAGTGGTGCAAAAAAAAAAAAGAATGGAATAATATCCCTGAGTAAAATAAATCTATAAAGTAAAGTCCCCTTTATAAATACATTCTAAAACAGCACAGGATGTTTGTTTCACCCGTATGTGATATAATTCAGGTATCTCTGATGTGATGGTTGTATTTGCAGAAACCAGGAGGAGAAAATGAAGAGAGCGTCGGCTCCTGAGAAGCTAACATTCAAGGAGCGCCAGCGTCTTTTTTCCTTGGCGTCCAGTTCATAAACAGAAAGCTCAGAAGACAAAAATGTTTAAATTTAAAAAAAAAAATGTAATTATTTCCTAGCATCATGACAGCATCTATTAATCACATGTCCCAAGGGCAAAAAGTGGGTAATTTTAACACAATATTGTTCAGCACTGTTGTTCCTTCTTGTATTTTCCTATTAATAGGTAATAAAATGTTCATTTAGGAGTAGTTAAGGCACTTCTTACATCATTTTCTTATTAACAGTAACTGTTTGCTGCTTCTTTTAGTGGAAGCAGTTAATTAATGTTACTTAATGCGCTGATAAAACTGCACCACTGCCTTCTCTTGTTCGTGAGTTTCAATTGAACCTTGTCGCAGTCTACGGATCTCGTTGATCGCGTCAATCCCAGAAATCTTCCTGGTCTTCACCAGGTAGCAGGCCAGCATTGTCCCTGTTCTCCCATGACCATGCATGCAGTGAACTGCCACACCCTGTAGAAAACAATACAATCATTATTTGAGTCAGTTATCTATAAAGTATCCCTGAATATTTAGGGGGTTATGGAGTATTTCTCCTAGGCTTGCTGTTCCCAGAAGGGATAAATTATATTACTAATGCTATGTAATACATTTTAAAAATAATCTATTATCCCCCCCCCCCGGGCTCTTGGCAGAGTGCAGCACTTAGCTATGTTAGGGGAAAACCTGCAAAAGAAGACGTTTGTTTACAGAAATGAAACTTAATGTCAAATGTTTTAAGTTACAGTACTGAGCTAGCATACAACTGTTAAATGCACAACCATCCATCATGCACAGCCTGTCACCATCTGAGATCTTACCTCACCCTTGGAGTTGGCCTCTTCCACAATAGAGAGGACTCTATCAATCTGATTGGGTGAAGGAGGAGTAAAGTCAACTATCTTGATGTGGTGAAGCTGTAACTCTGGGCATGAGTCATGGTTGGGTGGTTTCCTCTCACAGAGGCAAACCAGGTGCTTGATGCCATTGTCCACCATATACCGGTATTCACATGGCATCCTGGGCATTGCCAGTCCAGCCAGTTTGCCTGGCTCCACCCAGGAGAAGTTGTGTGGAGCAAAGGAGGCCATAAGTATTCAACTGAGGAGAGGGCAGAGCATAGGTTTATTTTATAAACATTCAGTCTATATTAACAATATACGAAACAGTAAAATAAAACCATAATCTTAGTCTGAAACTGTTGATGTCACAAGTGGGATTTGAACCCTCACTTCCAGGAAAGTGTTTTTATTTTTTTATTTATTTATTTTATCGTGTCACAACCCGCCTCAAAGTGTCTCAATCGGGACACTATCTTTCTGAGGATAACATGTAAACTTCACATAGATACAGATAAAGCAACAGCGACTTTTACATCTTAAATATATCAGTAAACAGTCGGGAAAGAGCGCTAAAATAAGATGCCAAGAGTGACACTGTGCAGCTGTCTACTTTACGTTAGCATAATGCTATTGGCTAGGCTAGACAGTCCAGTGACTCATTGAGGGATTAGTTTAATAGGGTTACAAATGTAGCATTATAAGGCACAGGTCTGGTACGGAAATGCACTTCAGGCCTTATCAGACTTTACCTGTTTGTTTTCAGAGATTAGAAAAGCAAGTGACAAAAGGTAACACCTAGCTAAACTTTAGCAATGGTATGATGAAACTAAGCACCTCGCAGATTTGTAAAGACAACTCGGGCGAGGAATTCACCCTATAGCAATTAGCTTCCCTATAGACAATTAATGTCTATTACCTGTCAAAAAGTCCTGAGAATTACTCACAGTTCACTGATGAATGCACTCTAGGGACTCTTGTTCAAACCGCCTCACCCTGTCTGTCAAGCTAGTTACTACGTTCGCCGTTAGCACGTACCGCAGACAACTTAATAGCAGCTACTTCACAATTTCGCTGATAACTACTACGATTCTACAAGAGTAAAACTGGAAAGACACGTCATCTAACCAAGGCTAGATTGTGTCTGTTGCAATGCTAGGTGTGACGCTCCAGGCAATCAATCAATCAGTGAGGGAAGCAGCTGTCAAGTTCTTCAATGAAAATCATCTTACTTGTTGTAATGGATATTTAGCTGCCTGCTAATGACAGAGAAGATTTCTGATTTGAGTACAGCGCCTTCACAGTGGGATGAATTGTTGTTGTTAGTAGCACAATATACAATAACACAATCATAAGTGTGCAGATTGCTATGATCGACTTTAAAACATGGTCTAGCTCTTTCTGTATATAAGTCAGGATGGCCGAGCGGTCTAAGGCGCTGCGTTCAGGTCGCAGTCTCCCCTGGAGGCGTGGGTTCGAATCCCACTTCTGACAATAACCTTTTTACATTTTTTTGATACAAGAATCTGGTTTTATTTCACCGTTTTGTTTATGATTAATGCTGACTGACTGTGAAGGTTCTCAGTCATTAATGCTGACTGACTGCTTGTTTGTGGCCCATAGAATCAACCTACACTGACAAGCTAAAGTACTGGTTTTGATTCAGTGACCTTAATGACTCTGTTATTTAGTGTTAAGAGACAGGGATTTTTTATGTTTAATCTAGCTAGTCTACAACTTTTTATTTTACATTTTAAATGCAAATAATAATGATTTAAAATGAAAATTAGAAAAACCTGAATGTAATCCACGCAGTTGCACTTTCAGTACCTGCAGAGGGCAGCAAAATAGCTACACTGTTACCATTTTTAAAAAGTAAATGTCCTTTAAAGTTGCCAAACACACTGCTGGAGCCATTTTAATGAACTTATGTTGCACTTCTCAAACTTTATTTTAAACTGTGGTGGAGATGTCAAAGTTTGGGATGCCAAATATTACAAAGAAATATTTCTAAAGTCATTTTTTCATGAGAGTAAATTTTCTCTTATGAAACCGGTGTCAGCTTGACTTGAGCATGCAGATGTGATGATGTTTCCAGAGGTTCTTAGTTTATATATATGATTACAAGCAATGTGGAAAAAATAATCTCAGAGATCTGCTGCCTGCTAAAAAAAAAAAATGCTTTTAGCAGTATCGTGTATATAATCGAGAGATGTGCTCATTGAGTCTGCATTGAATCATCCTTGTTTTAATATTTACTTTTCTCACCTCCAGAATGAGACTGCCTATTTTATACAACCTCCACATGAAAGGAAAGTGAGAAGATCATTTGACTGTTTCATGCAATAGTTAATGATACAAACACAAACATTCAGAACTCACAGCACGGCACAGTTTACTTGCTAGTCATTTCATACAAATAGTAGAAAGAGGGTTTGTATCTGAAGGAGACAAACTGCATCACATGTGCCAGACAGGCTAGATGTTGATACACAGAGACTGATTTTCAGAAAGGTAAAGGTCACAGAGTTGAATGTGTCAAACATCCCATTAAAAAAGTTATCACTAACCTGTTGGTGTTAAAAAAAAAAAAAAAAAGACTTCAGTAATCACGTAGTTATAGAAAGATATTTAGGTAAAGTTGGAATAAACACAAAATAAACAACTTAAAAAAAACATTCCAATATACAGGTGGCGTCTAGTGGTAGGTGTAGTTTTTTTGTTTTTTTGTTGCTTTCCTACAGAGCTCAACCAACCCTTAAACCACTGAACAAAACATCTGCAAGTCCCAAAAGAACCACATCCATATTTTTTTCATTTTATCAATTTTTTGTTGTTACACATCACAACCCGACGACATGGCAGGTTGACTGCTTGTCCATCATGTCTCTAGGTGGTTATCATCACACTCCTCCTCCTCCTCATCGTCATCATCCCTTTTGTGTCATCTAAAAGCGCAGAACCCTTCAACATGCCGCACAGCCCCTCAAAAACAATTGCACCGCTTTAATGGTTACACTTTAATTTTTGCACTCTTTAGGTGCCGTTCGAGAAAAGGGGGCAATGATCGACGTGCCCTCCTACTAGAAGATTTCTACGTGTTTTGAACGTCCATGTTCAAAGTCCCCACACTAAGCAGACTGCTGCAGGGACGTGCCGAGTTTACAAGATGGCACAGAAGAACTTCTTCTCCCTGAACGGGTTCTCCGACGCTGGCACCGGTGACAATAGAGGGTCCTCTTTGGCATGAGCTTCGCAGTATGACATCAAGTCTGCTGCAGCTTTAGACACCTGCAGTTACAAACACACATGCACACAAGTGTATCAGTTCAAGTTGGCGTGCACAGTGTGGAAATACACCAGTCCAGTTTAATTCAAAGAGTTAAATCAGAAGGCGGATGCTTGTCTTTTATCTGGATTTCAAACGCATAGCAGCATGTAGGAGCTAGATCCTGGTTAGCTTAGCTTTACCAAAGTACCCCTAGAAGTAAGTCTCACCTCTTAGCACTACTTTAAAACTCACATTATTTCATCAATAATTCTCACAAACTACCACCCTCATCATGTGACTTGCTCTGGCAATGCCTAATGTTAAATTTTGTTATGTTAACCAAATAAATCATCTAATCATTCTGATCTTACACATCTATGGAAGCCCGTTTCTGCCACTACAAAAAAAAAAAAGTATCCATTACTCGAATTTCGAGTTATCGTTCTCGAAATTTTGACTTATTTTCTCGAAATTTGGACTTATTAACTCCAAATTTTGAGAAAATAACTCGTAATTTCGAGTTAATAAGTCAAAATGTCAAGAACGATACTTTTTTTTTTTTTTAAGTGGCAGAAACAGGCTTCCATACACATCTGTACATATAGCACTGTGCAAAAGTTTCAAGCTGGCCCCCATTTCTTCATGTTTTCAAATAAAAATGGGAAACAGTATATGTAGAGTATATAAATCCAAAACCTGTCACTATTTGATCCGACCACCTTTATGCTACAGCACAGCCTGAACTCTCTTAGGTGAGCTTTCTAGTCTTTAAGGTCTTCGGGAATAGTCTCCAGGTTTCTTGAAGGACACTCAAAGCTCTTCTTTGGATGTTGGCTGGCTTTTTGTTCCATTGTCTGTCAAGATGATCTCACATCTAGCTCTAGGTCTGGGCTGTGGGGAGGCCTGCCCATGACTCATAGTGTTCCACTGTGTGTTCTTCTGTCCAGGTATGCTTTTACTGACAGTGTGTTTGGGGCTTCTTGATTTCACCCTTCCAATTGAGGCCATTTCCAATGAGGCTTCAGGGACTATTAAATGGAAGCTCCTCATACATCTCTCAGGTCCTGTTCCAGAACTTTGGTGATTTTTTCCTCTATTTCTTAGGGACATGACTTTCATATACTCCTCATCTGCTGTAGCTACTTTTTTAGGCCACCTCTTTTTTTGTCCTCCACTTATCCCGTTTTCTCACATTTTTAAGGACACACTGCACACCATGCTGAGAAACGCCCCGTTTTCAGCTAATAGCTGTTTGGGGATTACCTTGTTGGTGAATGTCCAGCTCATTCACCATAATATAAAGACATGAGAGTTGACTGAAGACTTTTGCACAGTACTGTAAATCGAAAAAATAATAATATAGTCATGTGCGACAGCTGCGTTTGTCTGTTTTTATGACCGTAACAGTGATTGCTGCTCTCTTTGTAAGTACAGTTTGTTCTTAATAGGCTTTTTACTTGGATACATTAGCAAAAATTAAAAGTAAATGAAGTATTCATTGCTATTGTTTACCTCCATTAGCTCTGTAAACTTTTAAGCCCAAATGTAAACAAATACATGTAAGTTAACGGACGGAAACCTAATTAAAAACATAAACCACGAGGTGCCAGCGCACCTTTATCCTGTCGATGTTGGCTTCCATCTTCAGCTGTTCCACCAGCTTCCTGGCTTGTGCGATGCTGGCCGTGTTATTGCTCGCCATGGGCGCTATCAGTCAGGCCTCGCGTGCTCTGTCTGCCTGTAGCAGAAAGAGATTTAAACATCCCAAACATTTCAGCTGAGAGACGAGCACTATAATATAGTGCAGGGGTAGGCGACTCCAGGCCTCGGGTGCCGGTGTCCTGCAGGTTTTAAATGTGTCCTTGATCCAACACAGCTGATTTAAATGGCTAAATTACCTCCTCAACATGTCTTGAAGTTCTCCAGAGGACTGGTAACGAACTAATCATTTGATCCAGTTGTGTTGACCCAGGGTAAGAGCTAAAACCTGCAGGACACCGGCACTCGAGGCCTGGAGTTGCCCACCCCTGATATAGTGTAACAGGCATGCAGAGAGGAGTGCTAGTAACAGATACCCTGTTTATTATCACATGCCTACGGACACACAAACCACAGACACAAGCATATTATTTATGGTGTCAGTTGCTAGGCAGCCCCTGACAGTAAGAGAGGGAGGCGGGGGAGGTGGGAGGGGAGTGTGGGGGTGGCGCTTTGTCCGGTACTAAATTTCAAAAAAGATAAACGGATAAGAAACATTAGAGGTTTCAGAAAGGAAAAGCTCTCATTATGCACAATATTTTTTGGTTTTTTAAACATATGTGGTGATACTCAGTCACTGTCACACAAGAGCATAGCGTCTGTCTCTGCCTTATATGTAGGACAATTCATGAAAAACATGGTGTGCAGCCATGAAAATTAACTACATTTCATTTGAGGTTTTGATTGTTTTCAACATATCAGGATATTTCTTCTGTGAAAAAGTAAGCAACCTGGCCTCAGAAGCTATTATTGCCCCGTTTAAGCAGACATACGCTTGCTGAAACTGGACTTTTCCTCCATATAAAAGTTGCAAGATGTTAAATTAAATGCAAACTGTTTTTTACATGCCCTTTGTTTGAGTATATCACCTCTATCTGCAGGTAGTCTTGCTTACTCTCACAGTGCATAGACAGTTGGCTGGCGATTCTAAATTGGCTATAAGTGTGAGTGGTGTTTTTTTTTCTCCTTTGACAGCCCTATGGCAGCCAGTAGACCAGGTGTACTGAAGGGTAAAGCAGGTATACTTAAAGAATGGATGGATGCAATTTTTAATACACATATTTTTTCTCTCAACTGCAGTTACTGTATTGAGTGATTAAAACTGTTCAAATGCTTCTTGCAGATCAAACAAATAATAACTGCCTCCTTGGAGAAGCTTCAGTGCTCCTCAAGTTCTCTCTGGAACGCCTTTGAAGGTGCACATTTCTTGCCACTATAGGTGATTAAATATTGGTGGAAAATACTTCCCAATGTGCTCACAGGTCTTTAGATGCGATGAAACTGTTCAGTGTCTTCATTACGTTTCTCCAACTATTTATTCTTTACATTTGTCACCGTGTCCTGAGGGCCTCCCCTGAGTTCTCCAGCTGCTTTGATTAAATGGATCAAGCCCTCCAAAACGGCTTCATCCTCGGCGTGCGATCAATCATCGCTGGAGCCCCCCTTCGTTATTCGTCTGTGCACGCTGTGGTACGACTCAGCGTGTGTTCAGCACTCATCTCAGCGAGGTGCTGGAGCAAAGCATAAACATTAACGCTCTGTGGTGGCACATCTGCTCCTCAGCACAGGTTCACGGGTTAATTCCATGTTATATTTGCAATGCTTTAAAGATCGATTGTACTCAAGTGAAGCAGAGAATTTAACTTTAAAGCGTTCTTAAATGGTTTACAGGTGAAAAGAAATATCATGATTAAAAAGTACTACAGTGATCTCAGAATCAGAATCAGAATAGGGGAAATTATTTTTCGTTACAGTGCTCCATTTAATCTATTTAATCTTTGGAGTAACCCTAAAATAAATGGGATAAAAACTGTAAAGCATCCTGCACAAGAAGCTCCAACTGGCTTGTTTTTGTAATTTTTGCATAAGCTGAAACAATAAAATGGAAACCAATACAATGTAGAAGATTAATTATCAACACAAAGGTTAAATATTTTTGAGGACAGGAAGAGTATTTTTTCATTTTCCATTTTCCCCCTCCTCTAACCTAAGCTGGAACATCTCTGCACGATGTCAGCGCAAACCAAATGACAACGTGTAGACGATCCGTGAGAACAGCCTGCAGCAGGCTCAAAGCGCGAGGAGTGGAACATAAACACGATGGTTTATAGCCACTGCAGCTGAGGGATCCTGGATGTTCTCAGTTTGAGGAGAACGTCACCTTGTAGGGTCATGGTGTGCCAAAGACCCCCCCAATATCCATTATGAGGTTGCTAATCAACTCTGTTAGCTTTTTAAAAGCCCTTAAAGCAAAGCAAACTTCGTTTTCGTCCCTCACCAAAATAAAAATAGGACAGAGAGTTAAGATCGCTGAACAGAAATTAGTCTTTAGTGTCGTTTATATCAAGGCCACAATATTGTTTCAACACCTCTGGGAGACGTCAAAACAGGCCACCGTATCATCAGACTATTGATAGGGATAAATGTCACTCTGTAAGGTTTCTGGGATACGTGAAGAAAAGTAGGTCTTCCATTTTAACACATGCCAAAAAAAAAAGAGGTACAATAGCCTATTTTAAGAAAATTGTCAAGGAGAGTTGATGTTTTGAATAAACGCTGTATTAAATATGGAAGAAGCTAAAGGATCAAAGTCAAGTCCCCTTTTGTAATTTCTCCATTTTTACATCTTCCTCCTGTCCTTGCATCCTCCCCTTGTGTCTTAGTTCACGTGAAGAGATGTGAGAAGATGAGGGAGAGACGCGAGGAGAGAGGACTGCAGGTGTCAGGCATTTAACTCGATGAGGCTTCAGCGCTTCGTGTCAATTAAATATGATGCTTGGCACAGATGCATCATAAATTGTTTCGTTACAGCTCAACTACTGACGAGCGTAACAGTGTTCACGCCAGCTTTTATAATTAGGTCTGCGTTTAATTAAATTCACCACATGCCGCATTGTGACGAGATATCGTACCTACAGTCCCCGGAGTCCCTTTGTATTTTGCGTATTCCATCTGTGTGCCATGCTTACTTTATAAATACAGGCTAAAAACACTAGTGCAGAGGAAGCCTTCTCTTGTCCTCCAGATACATTTTAATAGCTGGGACATCCTTTAAATGGCACTCCGAGTTTAATTTTCAGGTCACGGGGAAGAGGACAGAGGAGACTACGAGGCAGAAATTTGAGAAATGTAAAAAGTTTCACTTTTTATTTTACCCACTAAGCTCTATGATAATTAATGAAATGGCCACACGTAAATTAACTGCGACTCTGGTTATTTACAGTTTTGGCAGATGTAACGCAGGAATTTCCCCGCTTTAGAGCTAAATAAAGTATACAGTCATGTGGAAAATAATTCTTTACTAGACTTTATATAGTCATGTGAGAAACTAAGCTTGTAAACTCGCCTTTAGCGGGAAGTAAACATCTTCTGTGCACCTTAAAAGTCTTTTAATATTTGGCTCACTCTTCTTCACAGTATTGCTTCAGTCCTTTTTTGAGGTTTGTGGGCACTCGCTGATGCACTGCTCTCAGCATTTCAACTGGCTTGTGGTCTGAGCTTTGACTGGTCCACTGCAAGCACCTTGGTTGTTGTCTTTTTATAGACAAACTTGTCTTTTTCTAATTGCACTTGCATGAACTTCAACATTTAACATGTTAACTGAGGCCTGTAGAGTCTGAGTTTTTCCGAGGATTGCGCAGCCTGACCTTTGCAGGAATGTTGACTCCTGGGAAGATTGTAGTATCATATTAACATGCACCTAAATGCTCAAGACTAGCAAACTATCAAAATGCTGATTTTAAAGGCGTTCACAATTGATGATGATCACTTAAGTAAAGATTGAATTAGTTAATTAAGTGCTCTTTATTCATATGGAAGCAATAAGGGTGTAGTTAATTAATCAGAGGGCTATATTTCATCTCGTCAAAGTTAATTTAACACATTGCTAAGGGATGAAACAAAAAAAGCTACATTGCTCGCATGGCTAAAAATGGCAAAAACCTCTCCAAATGACACTACAGTTAAAGCATGAATGTGGAAAAAAGAGAAAAAAGAGAAAGAGAAAAAAGTAAGAAGCAATTGGGCAGAGCTTTCACTGAGGCTGCAAGGTCACTTCCCTGTTCATTACTGTTGGAGCGTGCGAAAATGCCACCCTGACATTTTCATATCTGCTAAAGGAGGGCGGGGTGATGGTGACATGTAGCAGATGCACACTTTTCCTTCCTTCCTTCCAACCTACTTTCCTTTCCTTTCTGCTAGCTGCTTAAAATACCATTCTGAGATGTTGCGTCTGGTGTCATCATCCCGATAAGTGTGACACTGATAAATAATGCATTCAGACGGACAGAGGCCTTAACCGTGTAAGCTGTCGACAACTTTATGGCAGCTGTCACGATTAGTTCACAAACTCTTTGCAGCTGCAGCAAGAGGGCCGTGTCATCACCGTGCCCTTGTGATGGCATCAGCCACACAGGGGTAAATCAGTCCATTTTTTCACTTTATT